GAAGGGGGGGGGGGGCGGGGGGGGGGGGGGCAGCCTTCCAACCTCCCACAACACAAAAGAACTTTAAAGAAACTGCAGGGTGAAATAACTTAACACATATCCATCTTGAGAATTACCTCAACCTCCTGGGGCTTGAACACACATCATCATCATTAACTACCTGGTCGCACATATTCATTAGTTCACTGCCTGCATCTTCAACTGTTTTTTAAGTATTTTAAAAAATGCACAAAATATTTACACCTCTGCTGCCTTTCACCTTCCCTCAGAATACTGTTAGTTCCTCTGGTATTACAAAAAGCCCGTTTATTTTGTTTTTCTTCAGGGGGAGGGAAAGGGTAGCACCCTGAGCCACGGAGCCCGAGAAGCGAACGCTGGCAGCCAAAAGCAAAATGCCACACTGAGGCAGGGAAGCCAACGTACGTATTTCCGCCTTGCTTCCTGAAGGGCTTCCGACTCTTCCAACTTCTTCGCTTCGTCTCGGAATTTTTTGATGCTCTCCTTCATCTCTTTGTTTTTGGCCAGCTCCTGCTTGATGTTCTCTACGAAGCCAGATATAAAACCTTTTCGATGGCCAGAAGAAGAACATCTAGACTAAAGAAAAGGACACAGTTACGCCTTGCAGAACAAAACCAATCCTGCCTCATGCGCTTGGTTGCATCAGCTGCACAAGTCTGTAGTTTAACAGCAGATAAGATTTTTCATGGAGAACATCTCAGCTTCGGCCCACACCCTCTCTCTCTCCAAGCTGTAATATGCCATTGCCAGGCAGTGCTCATCTGTCTTAACAGACAAGCACTTCCATGGTCCTGCTTTAATTTTAAATTTAATCAGATCTACAAGAGCTGGAGTCCTACTTGTTTTCTGAAATTCTTGTCTTGCTGGCTAATTTAGAATTTGCAGGACTAGAATTTGCAGGACTGATACCAAAGCAGGAGGACATTAAAGGAGATGCCAGGACCGAAACGAACAGCATCATGTTTATTTAAATTATCCCCATTAATTACTTACAGCACCAGGAGTCCTTTCCTAATCGCCATGGTGAGCTCCAGCCGAGTGGCTGGGAGTTCTCCGGAATTCGACTTACAAAGAGGTTGCTTTCGCTGGGCAAGTTTTATATCCCTGCAATCTCTTTCTCCCCCTTGGCCCCCAGAATCGCTCAGGTTAGGCATCAGCAAAGGAAGGTTAGATATTAAGGAGGATTAAGGTACTGGGTGCCTGCTATGCCAAAGGAGGGAGATAATTACGTGTTCAGGGTTGGAACAAAAAGTTTGTTACCTCACAGCTTGCAAAAGTAAACAGGAAGAGCTAGCTTGTCTAAGCAGCCTCTCTTCCAGGTGTTAATTGAAAAATGCAGGTCAGTTACAGGACACTACTCTATTTTCTTTTCCCCCAGAGATTGATAAAAAAGATGCCTTGCATGTAAAATATTAGTAGCTGAAACCAACCTGAACCTCTGAAGAGTTCAGATCAACTAGCAAAATTCATGAGGTACCTTCGTACATTCCCACACTTGAAAGGCAAAAACATAATTTGCCTCACGGGCCAGTGAGATGCTGTCAAACATAGCCAAACCCAAGACTCTGTGGTGCTTGGGTGCAGGCATGCTTACCTTTTCCAGCCTTAAATTATCTCTCCTACTGTGTGATTGCTTTTAACAGCTCATCAAGATGAGCTTCAAGAATTCGGGCTCTTACAGGACAAATTAGCTTTAATGTTTATTTTAAAACACAGTGTCTGGATTCAAGTTGTTTATATCCTGTCTTTCTGCTAAGGGAGTATTCACCCAAATCCTGTTTTCTGTGCTTGTTTCCAAGAGCCAGTAGCCTCAATGGAAATTTGACAAGGACACGCAGAAAACTGCCACCCTGACAAATCCCAGCAAGAAAGGTAGATTAACTTCAGCTCTTGTTATAGTTTCTTCTACCTCTGGCCACCTTCCTTTTAAAGCCCTCTAAGGATTGTTTCTCTCATACCCAAGGAACAAATCAGCAGAAAAACAAGACTCCATTTATTATTTCATTTACAAAGCATCTGACAGCCTCTATGCACTGACCCAAAATTAGAAGATAGATAGTGTCCCTGTAACCAGACACTTCAGATGGCCAGACACCAAGAAAAACAAAAGAAATGAGACAAGAAGAGGAAACCAAGTTTCTCCTCTAGCTGATGAATGGGTCAAGGCTGGTCATTCATATAACATGATATTATTTCTAGATAAAATCAAGTTGGTGTCTGTATCTTCAGCTGATGACAGAGCCTCCCTCCAGTTCTGCCACTCCAGACAACTTCCTATTCCTACCTTAATTTCCTATTCCTGTTTTGTGGGTGGGCAATTCCTCCTCCCATCTTCACCCCCAAAGTACACAACCACACCTGTACTTCAATGACACGGTAAGGTTTTATTTGCCAAAAAACACACCTGATATAATTCTAACGTCAATCTGCTCTTTCGACACACGTGGAAGGGATGCTGCACAGGACCGGAGCACTGCCTGGATACAAGCCACGCGTTCAAAAGGTATTTCTAGGATTAGAAAAACAAAATGGTGTCATTTAATACTACGCACCTTTCATGACAGCTTTGCTGAGAATGGCAAAGGAAAGACCGCAGTTTGTGGCTGAGCTAAGGAGTTGCAGAAAGCACGTTCACACAACACGCAGGGCTAGGCTGGAATGGGGGTGGACCTCTCGCGGTTCAGCGTGCTGTGAGAGTCCGGTGACTATCTTAAGATGCGCCGTAACCTCGTCCATTGCATGAAGCCGTCATACGATTTGTCGGAGCAGGGCTTGAGGTTTTCCCTGCGCCGAGTTCCAGCGGGAAATGTTGTCCTCTGCAGGAGCTGCCGCTGGTGAGGGACTGGGGCTTCCGGAAGGTCCAGCGGCTGAGATGAGGGGTGCGTGCCTGTCTTTGGGGGCATCTTTTTAAAATTGTATTTTATCATTAAATTTGTATGCTGCCCATCTCCCCCAATGGGTGACCTGGGCGGCTCACAATTAAAAAACCAAAGGCCTGTAACAATTAAAATATCCCATAAATAATTAAAAGCTGAATCCCTTAAAACCCCCTATAAACCAAACCCTGCCCCTAAACGCTAAAGCATTCCAGGCGACGGAGGGGGGCAGAATCAATTACCCCACAAGCCACTTCCACCGACGCGGGCCCCCTCCGGCCCCCAGGCCTTCTGGCACAGCCAGGATTGCACGCCTCTCCCGAAGGCCGCG